ACCTGCAGATATCATGTTGAAATTTCGTCGAAAACAACCGTCTGTTGTTGTTGCTGGTGAAATATCCAAGTGATCGACGAGATTCACATGAATTATAGCTGTGTGTACGGTAACTACATTTTAATATACGGACTTTTAAATATACGATCAGGTATCTTAGACTACCTCAGGGAAGGTTTTCCTTGGCCCGCCCGGCCATTTAAACATACGGAATCCAATTCATTTAAACATACGGTAAGTACATTTAAATATACGAACTTGTATTTCATACTACCTCCCGGGCCTCGCGGTCTGGCCCGCCCTCCACATATTTAAATGTCGTTACGTATATATAGGTATTCACTGTTCCTGGCATAGAACTGGCTACTACGAAAAGTAGTAGGTCTGTCACGAGCAAGTCCTGCCGTGGATCTAAAATGATGAACCATATGATGAGTATGTAGATTTCCTCTCATATCAAGATTCCCACAACGTTGTTTTTTCACGCTGAGCGGAAAAAGGGATGTACAACTCCGCCTCAGCACCACTTGCCACAAAGCTTGACCCTAAAAACTGAGAAACTCATCCAATCAACGGGGGATATGGTGACCATCCCGGCCTGCTTTCCCACTCGAACAAGCGCATCATCTGCAGATGAAAAAACAGACCAACGACTCATAAGTTGCCTTTGACATTCTCCGGATACCATGAAGAACAGACACTGTTTCTACAATGGGATCGTATCTTCAGATAGGGTCCCAATTCCACTGGATCATTTTCCCCGGAACCGCAGAGCCACAAAAGGGGGTATCCAGAGGTATCCCGTATTTTTCAATGGATTGGTTTAGTCGGGAAAATCGAAACCGGAAACCATAGATTTTCCCACTCAGATCATGGGGTTTTCCGGTTAAAATTGTCCCGTGAAAGCCAACATGAATTCGATGGAAAACCTCGCCAAGGATCCCACAAATCCCTACTGTCCTTTTGCCGGAGCGCTGGCTTACAGCATAGATCGCGGCATCTGGCACCTCCTAAGTGGCCCCGGTCCCGATGGTGGAAAATCACATGGAAAAATCACTACCCACTGCAGGGAAAATATGAGAAAATGGTCGGAAAATATGGCAAAATGATGGGAAACTGTGAGAAAATATGAGAAAATCATTGGAAAATGGGACTTGAGTGGCATTATCAGCCGCCCTGATCGGCATCATGGGGCGATAAAAGCAGTGGGAGCTTTGTAATATCACATCATTGCAGTCAGGCTGTGAACTTTGGCATGAAATTCCAAGGTTATGTCATGTCCCCAACCCAACTTTGGTGGTTACCCAACTGGGTCCCAAAATTCAGTTCTGCCATGGTGGCCCCCTAGAAATGGCGGCTCGGCACCTTTTTGGGACCTGTATGCTTGCTCAAACGAAGAAATGACCCGTCCATATCGTGGCCCTGATGTGCCATAAACCCCTTGGGGATGCTTGAAAACCTACCATCTTGTGTAAGATTTGGGTCATTGGGGTTGCCACATTTTCCTGGAGGGGCAAACTCAAGAATGGCCCATCCATCTCCAAGGTTCTCTCCAATACTGCCATCAATGCGATATCTTTTATGGTAGCTGCTATATGGTTGGCTTTACCCAGGGTAAAAGACGCTTAAATACACGTTTTTTTGATGGGAATGTTATGAATGTTTGAATAGGGAAAACCTCCCCAAACGACTCCATTGAAATGGCTCGTGAATGACTATCATTTACCCAGTATAAAATTGCCATTTTATTGAGGAATTCCTGAGGATTTTTGCTGGGTAAGATTTATCCACTGGAGATTGATAATTTGATAGACCTATGTGAATTAGTACACTTTTCTATGAGAAAACTCATTTCATCCACCTTTTTTGTCCCCTTTTGGGTAAGCCAAAGCCCGGACGTTCTGCGGCATCCGCTGGGCTTTTTTCAGGGATGACCATGCTGCCATCTACCCATGGCGATACGCCAGGGTTCCACCAAGGGTATGAGGTTTAATAGGATTTATACATATTGTATATACACAGTATCACTATATGTACCAATATGAATAGGCTCATGTTTGTTTAGAAAATGATAAAATGACTTTGCCACTGCACCATCTACGAGGCAATTGTGGTACTGGCAGCTGCGTTGTTTGCTGTTGCAGGAATGGAAGGTGTGCGTGTTTATATACATATAGAATATATGTATGTGATACATGGGTGTGTTTCTACATAGAGCCTTACATTGGCTTGAAACCCCCTTTTTTTTTACGGCAATTTCATCGGGAAAAGTGAATGGTTCTCCGATGGAATGGGGTAGCCCCAATTTTCAGACCATTTTAATCAAGCTGTGTATGGGTACCCTCTGGTAAACATACAAAAAGCTATTGAAAATGACCATTTATAGTGGATTTTCCCATTAAAAATGGTGATTTTCCATGGTTATGTTAGTTTACCAGAGGGTAATTCAATATCAAATCCATACCTAATCTAATTGAGGCCGTCAAAGTAATGGTTTCCACAAATCAACAGTTGATTCATTGAGCTCGCTACAGATTATCCAGACATAGATAGAAAGACAGATTAGATGAGGATTGATTTCATTAGGTTTGATGACATAGGTCGATAGATAGGTGACTTTGTGACTGAGCTAGTTCCTGCAGTTTGTTTGCTTGGTTTGGTTTAGTTGGGTTAGTAGATATAGCCGGTTAGTCAGCAGCTAGTTGGTCAGTCAGTCAAGCAGTCAGTCAGTCAGTCAGTCAGTCAGTGAACTACATAGGATAGGTAGATACCTACAATATGTATATATATGTATATATATATCCTTAAGTATGTTTATATTTATATATATACTTAAGTGTATAAATATATATATACATAATCTTAGAATATGTATATACATGATTGTGTAGCATCCATGAGCAGCTGGCTTCTAAGGGCTGCCATATTTGGCCTCAATCTTGTCGAACTCAGCCTGGTCAAACCACCAGAGAATGGCCATGACCGGCCATGACCCGTTGACCCTCTCGTAATTTCTTAACAAAAATGGTGATGTTAAATGAGGGGTCATGGGATTTAACCTACCATCTGGTTATTTAACATAGCCATGGAACATCACCATGCTATTAATAGGTAAACCATGCATGAGATGGGCTGAAACCACCCAATGATTTGTTTGCATGATCAAGTCTTTACCCTCATATATCCCATTGATAGGAGGTTTAACCATCATATATCCCATTAAATCCCATTAAAATCCCATTAATCATTGATTACCCTCTGGTAAACATAGAAAAAGCTATTGAAAATGACCATTGAAATAGTGGATTTTTCCCATTCAAAATGGGAGTTCATGGGATTTTTCACCTAAATCCAACAACTTAAAACTCATGGGATTTCATGGGAGTTTCATTGGATCAATTTCAAGGGATTCCAAATTTGGTGATTCTTTTGGGGATTTAACTGATTTAACCAACAAACATGGGGGATATAAATGGGAAATACCCTCTGATTTAATAGTTTGCCAAGGAAAATCACCATGTTTAAGTTCGGTAAAACATCGAAATGGACCAATATCAATGTTAAATTACCAGGGGTACCTTACTAGCTTATGAAATGGGGAAAACCCAAACTAATCATCAACATCCTTGTGTTTTGTTAAACTGCCCACATAATGTGGTGAAGTCTATCCATGTAATATCGACCTAGCATGTAGATTTGCTGACATCATCCAATTTACCCGGGTAAATCATCCCCAGTCGGAGGTGTATGGCATCCGGTTTGCGTGCTATCAATAATTCACGCATGGGGGAACGGTAATCTGTATTTTGTTCATTATCATACATCTTGGAAAACCATCATGTTTTAGGCAGGTGATCTTCAAATTTGCATGGGATTTAACTTAGTTGTACGAAATGTGGTTCTGTATGGTTCCCTGACAATTTCACTCGCGCAATTGGGATTGCATTGCTTAATTCCTATAACTGGTGCATAATAGGCATCCCATGCACGCAGGGATTTCTGCTGTACACCCTTCAATTGTGAAACAAAGCCCTGGTTGGGGTTTCCACCATATTCCTGCTATTTCTGAACTGGCATCCTGGAGCAAATACAATATCTCGTCCATCAAAAATCTGATACCCTAAACCCGGTCAGCGGGCACAAAGCTAATGATTATCTCATGTTGGGAGTGTGCCGGCGCGCACAACGCTAATACACATGAAAAAAGTGTCATGTTCCATTCCTAGGTTATATATATATACATATCCACCTGGTATATAATGATTTATAAACCAACACATACGCTAAACAAGGGGACCCGAAATCAGGGGTCATGCTGGCGCTACCAATGGCCGTGCGGTTCTACGAGGCTTGTTTCGAAATAGTCGCAGCTGGGGTCTCAAACCACCTAATACATATATATATATATGTATATATATATATGTATATATATATATATGTATATATATGTATATATATATATGTTCATCCATTTAAATTAATAAAACAAAAAAACTGTCGCGGACCTGAAAAGTTTGGCCACTTTGAGAGAGTTACCCGAATGCAATTCCCATCATTCCATTGTTCCGTCGCGGCGTGGCGTCATTAGAATTCAGATATAACCCTTCCAAGAAACATCAAGAAGGCAACATACTGTGGATGGTTGCGAAATCCTGCACCAGTTGATAGGTGCTACACATCCCATCATTTATAGGGTTTCAACCATCCTTTCGGTGGTTTATCGGATTTCGCAACCATGCACGTTATTAAACGTGGCGCATCACACATGGTCCTGGTCGCTGGGTCACTGTTTGGATCGTCCCAGGAATGGCCTTATTCGACTATTTGGGCTTGATGACTCTTCATAAATTTGCGGTTACTATTATTCCGAATCTATGCCGCCATCATCATCTTCTTCTTCTTCTTCTTCTTCATCGTCACCATTATTTTTGCTGTTGTTGTTATCATGGTCATTTGCCTCAGGCTAAGCCCGCCATTTTTCTTCCACTCCTGCGCTTCCGCAACGACGTTCTTGGCGAGTTCTTTCTGCGCCGCCTCACAGGGATGGATAACCAAGGATAAGCCTCGACCTGCATGGCTTCTATGAAAAATTCAGATACTTGGGGGTGCAGTGGAACCATGTGGAACCATAATAAACTACGGAAAACCACCATTTTTTTATGGGTAAATCAACTATTTCTGTGGCAATGTTCAATAGCTATGTTAGTTTACCAGAGGGTAAGTAGGATCATAAGTATAACCACAAGTATCATTGTATAAGTAGAATTATGGGTCCTGAAGTGGATTATATAACCACAATTGTAGGGATTATGATAATATCCCAACTTATGGAGGTGATTGCCGAAAATGTTGGGGCAAACATGTGAGACCCTACGACAGGCACTGTACATGACCCGTGTTAGGAATAGCTGCCACCTAGAGCACATTCAAACTAACTATATGTCGTTTGATCGATCGATCGATTCGATCTGTCTGTCGGCCGGTCTGTCGGCCGGTCTGTCGGTCTGTCGGTCTGTCGGTCTGTCGGTCTGTCTGTCTGTCTGTCTGTCTGTCTGTCTGTCTGTCTGTCTGTCTGTCTGTCTGTCTTGCTGTTTATCTATCCGTCATCCAGCCATCTATCTATATATCTACATGTTTATATATTATATGTATGAGTCACATCAACGGATTGATCAAGTGAAGCTTAAGAAGGACTCCATCCATTGGAATATCGTCGCTTCCGAGCAGTCCCCGATTGCCGCTGTGATCAAACATGGCAGTGCGAGCACGAAATGGAAGTCTTAACTGGAAAAACATCTGTAAATGGGAAACAAAAATGCCAATTTTGACTACCGGAGAGCTTTCCATCATATCTAAATTGATATAAATAACAGGCATGTAATCATAGCTAGGCAACAGAAACAATATATATTTATAAGAGTACTGGTTGTGAGATAGTCATCCAGGTCGGTGCTGTCGTCATCCAGTTGTGTCAATGGGTGGGATCCAATGGAATCGAATGTCTGGTTGGTGGTTGACCTACCATTGTGGTTAATATACCTGGTTAATAATGGTTAATATGAATGGTTATTATATGGTTAATTAATGATCATCTGGTTGGTGGTTGCTGCTAACCCCTCTGAAAAATGATGGACTTAAAGTCAGTTGGGATGATGAAATTCCCAATATATGGGAAAAAAACGTTCCAAACCACCAACGAGATGTTCAATAGTCCCAATTGACTTGGCCAATCCATGTTGAGTTGTGACTTCAATTTTCGGTTTTAGGATGATTTTAGGTCGACATGACCACGCCCCCATCCCAAGCCAGTGCTGGGTGATTTTGGACCACTGACTGACCGCTGCCTGGTTTGCCGCGATTGTGTCGAGGCTTTTCTCTGCCTTGGACTCGAAGTCGTCGAACTTTTTGTCGCTGCGCCTCATGGACAAAGTGCGGGAACTGCAAGGAACTGCAAGGATGTGAGTGACTTAATCCCTTGGCAAAGCAAGGAAATAAGTCAGCAAGCAATGGGCGGGCGACCCCAGATCCAGGTCTTCTTGGGTGCCGCTGTGCCGAGGTCTGGATTCTCATGATCGTTGATCTGGTTGCTGGAGCCCCGCGCGATGAATGTTGTTGGAAAAAAATGGAAAAAATGGAGCATTTTCCAGCACACCACGTTGGATGACATCGGCGGGTATTGCCCATTCATATCCTCATCTTTGTTGATTAAATGATGATAAATGCCTATCAATTGACTACCATAAAATCCAAGGTAAAAACATAATACCATAAAATCCCATAAAACCACCATTAAATTCCATAAGATCATAGTAAACCACCATTAAATCCAATAAAATCCCGTTAAACCACCATAAAATCCCATGAAATCCCATCAAACCACCATCAAATCCCATGAAATTCCATTAAACCATCTTTGAATCAAATTAAACCACCAACCAAAAAAACTCATAAAATCCTCAAATCATCATCAAAATCATCTCACCAAGGCACTCGATGTCCTCCGCTACCTTCTTGGCTCTAGCCATCTCATCGTGCGCGTCCTCCAGAACCTCCCGAGTTGCATAGCGCTCAACGGGCAATGAGGTCAAAACCTCCACCTTGGACGGCGAAAATGATTTGTTTCGTGGCGTTTCGAGTTACTGGGGGAGATTCCAGGAGAAAATTCCATGTTAGATCTAATTGATGATATATTGATATGTGTATGTAGGTGAAATTCTGTGAAATGCCTGGTAACTGGCCCATCCTGGAGTGGATAGCATGCCATGATCACCCATGGTCAACGTAGTTTTGGGGACGGTCTTAGCCCCAGTACAAAGGAACTATTAAAATGAAAAAAAACTGGTCATGTAATGTAAAACACAGCGTGTTTTACATGGTTTTTTTTGGGGGGGTTAATATGTTACCTACGCCATATTCATGAATCCCGGTGGTTTTTCATGGCACCGAAATGAGCCAAGTACGTCTCAACCACCGATGCCCAGGGACCAGTTGCAAGCCGACCGCATCGCAACGCCACGACTGGACCACCGGGTCTGTCACCAGCTCCATTCCTGCGAAAGAAAATTCACGTAGCCGGAAGATCCCCCGAACGAAATGGAAGTTTATGCAGTTTTTTTCATAGAAAATCCATCAATGGATGAGATGATATCTGGGGGTACCCCCATTTCAGGAAACCTCCATTTGGATGGTTTAGTATGGTTTAGTTCGCTGGGAAACGAATGGAAAAGATCCGCCATGTTCGAAAAAACCACCTTTGATGACATCAGAGGCTAAACCCAGGGCCCTCCAGGAACGTGCAGGACCCGGCATGCTGGTCCCACCTCATGGCTAGCTATGCCGCCATGCCTTTGTCTGCCAATAGGCTGCCCCAAGTCCGAATCTCGGAAAATCATCATCTTCCCTATGAAAACGGCCATAACTGGGTGAAATTTTCCATTTGAAAAAACACACAAGTCCTGGGAAAAATCTGGCGATCGTCAGGATCAGCTATCAGCCCAGAGGTTAAGTTAGGGATGATATTGTGCGTATATAACCGCATAATACTGCATATAATATGAACTGAATCACCATCTTGGTTGGTGAAGTTCGCATCTTTGTCTGCTCAATTTCCATTTTGCATGGTACCATGTAAAACCCCCGACTCAACCAGCTTTTCTTCCCACTTTTCCCACTGCGCCTTCGGGACATTTGTGGTCAGACCACCAGTAACTCTTGGTCCAAACGGTCTTGTTTGCATGCCTGCAGTCTGCAATAGAAGGGAACAAAAACCTGTGGGCGGGATCCATGATGTACGATTGGTGGGTGCACGAGCTCCCCAAGAAATATGGGCATGAGTCACTTGACTCAAATACCCTTATGCACATCCCAAAAATGTTGCCTGAATCGTCAGAAAATGTTGGGATGTGAATGAATAATTAACAAAGGACGGAATCATCAAATGTTCGGTTTTGTTTGGTATTGACCCTTGACCTATATGGGTTTGTCTAAAAATAGGAGACAGCCGCAAGTTTGATTGTTGATGATGATCACCATCACCATCACCATCACCATCACCATCATCATCACCATCATCATCACCATCGTCATCATCACCATCACCATCACCATCACCATCACCATCACCATCACCATCATCATCATCATCATCACCATCACCATCACCATCACCATCACCATCACACATCATCATCACCATCACCATCACCATCACCATCACCAATCACAGCACCATCTCACCATCACAACCATCACCATCACCACCACCATCATCAATCATCATCACCATCACCATCAACACCATCACCATCAACCATCACATCACATCACCATCACCATCACCACCATCATCATCATCATCACCATCATCACCATCACCATCACCATCACATCATCATCACACCATCCCATCCCATCACCATCACCATCATCCATCATCATCACCACCATCACCATCACCATCACCATCACCATCACCATCATCATCATCATCACCATCACCATCACCATCACCATCCCATCATCATCAATCACCATCACCATCCACCATCACCTCACCATCACCATCACCATCATCATCACCATCATCATCACCATCATCATCACCATCACCATCACCATCACCATCACCATCATCATCATCATCATCACCATCACCATCACCATCACCATCACCATCACCATCATCATCACCATCACCATCACCATCACCATCACCATCACCATCACCATCATCATCATCATCATCATCATCACCATCACCATCACCATCACCATCACCATCACCATCATCATCATCATCACCATCATCAATCATCATCATCCATCAATCATCATCATCCATCAATCATCATCATCCATCAATCATCATCATCATCATCATTGTCCCTATCACAATTGCCATGTGTATATATATATATAAACTCATAGCTAGCCGAAGCCCCGTCCATGGCGCTCATCCTGAGCCCCCGGACTGGAAGGTTTGCGCCGCGGCCAAGGCTTCCAAAAAACCCGCGGAGTCCTGCACGACTCGGAGGGGATAGCACCAGGGGAAAAGTGGTGATGTCACGAAGGAAAAATGGGACGGTGATCATCGAAAATTAGGACTTCAACTATGTTCAAATGATTTATGTGTATATATATATATATACATATACATATACATATATATATATTATATAAGGTCTCGGCTTCGAGGTGCATTGCTAGGAAGTACTAGCCCCCTAGCGTGCATCCAGCTCGACTGTTCCGACCTTAGCGGACCCCTGAGCGATTGTGTCCGCGGGCTGCCGACGTTTTGGGGCGGCCTTCACTCTTGTGCTCTCAGAACCCAGGGCAGGTTCTGATCACCATCGCTCTTACAGTTTGACAGCTTTTTGGCCTTGCGAGGTGGACTTTGACTTTTCGGTCCCGGCATCCCATAACTGCTCAAACCATCAATTTTGATTTCCAACTTCTTTCTGAACTGGCAAGGCCCTGGAATTTTGTCTGGATTCAATATTGTATTTTTGGCCCTCACTACATCCCTGAATTTGTCCTGACCATCGGGCTCGGAATTTTCATGGTTTTGGTGAACATCGTGGTCATCATCTTGATCAGCTTTTTGAACCACCCCTTTGCTATCTCTGGTGAAGCTCTTGGCAGCCACGACGTTAGCAACGAGAAGGAGAACTTTGAGACGCTTGCGAGCAACTGCACGAAGGCAGTGGTTCTTGCATCGTCGAGGAGTAATCTACCTTTCCAAGGTCAAATTGCACAAAGTCTTCGAGATTCTCAAGCATCATCATTCTCGAGACCATCAATTCCTCGCCAAGATCACAGAAACAATGGCGACCAATGCACCATGGCGATGCGCAGGCTGCCGCCAGCTGCGGAAACACACGGCAGAGTTTTGTCCAGTCTGCCAGCTACACTGGCAGAGTGCCATGGATCGCACATACGTGCACAATCCAGGGGGACGGCACCAAGCCTACCCACAGTGGCAGCAAGACTCCCAGTGGCAACAAGCCCCTTCCAGGTGGAACCGAACCAGGTCCAAGAGCAGAACGCACACGCCACGTGGGCGACATCGATCCAAAAGTGCCCAAGATCGCCATCAAGGAGAAGGAAAAGGTCAACAGACACAGGCACCAAACATTTATTACGGCAAGGGACAGGGCAAGATCCCGATGCCGCCGTTGCCACCACCAGCAACACCATGGACTGGCTACAGCGCACAAAGTCTGCCAATGATGAATGCCCAGCAACAGCTGCCGCAAATGCAGCCAGTGCTACCGCAGACAGCGACAACGGTGCAGGCGTCATATGCACCTCTTGCACCAGCGCTGCATTCTTCGATGCCTCCACAGCTCAGTATGGAATCAGCGCAAAAGGAGTTCATCGAGATGGCAAAAGCCAGGCAAATGGAATTGCCTCCGGACATGAGACAGAAGGTTCTACGCATGTCCAAGTCCGAAGGGGCGCAAGCAACCAAAGATCTTCATTCTGCAGTGCGAAGCCTTGGCCTTGCAAGGAAAGACGTGGAAGAAGCCCTACAAGCACGCTGCAATCTGATCACTTCCTGGAAACACTTCCTGGCAGATGCAGTTCAACAATGGCAAGGCTATACCACGCTCTTCCAGCAGCAGGAGCAGGAGCTACAGGCACGCATCCAACAGGCTCATGCAGTGTTCACCACAGCCAAGGAGCAAGCAGAACAATCACAAGCGGAAGCAGGGAAGATCAGTACCATAGAGATCACAGACGAAGAAGACGAACTCCCTGGAGATCAAGCGACTGTGGAAAAAGCCTCTGGCCAGATTCAAGAGGGCCTGAGCAATCTTACAGCATCGCTCCAACAACTCCAAGCCAGTGCAGAGGCGATCGAGACGGAGGAGAAGTCGGCAAAGAGACCGAGGACTTCAGAAACCCCCGTACAAGATCAAACCATGGAGGCAGGAGGAGAAGGCGCTCCTGTTGGAGCCAAGCCGCCTTTTGCCTAGCCCGGTTGTGCATGACATTTTCGTATGACAACCTAGGGCTTTGCAGGCACTGGGAGAGCTCTACCCCAGCCGCTGTGATGAAGTGGAACAATCGTGCAGTGTGCAACGATGCTTTTGTATCGGAATGGCAAGCTAGGGAGCAGGCCATCGCACTCAGCCATGAGTTGTCCGCACCTTTTTCAAATCCATTTGCAGGGATCAACTCTACTAGTTCCCAGTGTAGAGGGCAACCCCTGTTTCGACTTGCACAATCTTCATCCAGACCCAGTAGACCGAGATCACTGCATGTGGGCTTTGCAGAGGACTTGGAACTGTGGATTGGAATAGAGGACAGTTTGAAGATGTACAAGCTCAACGTTCCCCTTGAAGTCGGAGCAACAGGAACCACGCCATGGAGTTGCCCTGATTCATTTTCTGAGAGTGCCCAACGAGATCAACGTTTTGTCGCCCACTCTTCGCCTGAAGGACGCACTGAGTTCCGTCGATTGCCATCAAGACCAACCTGGGCTAATGGTATTGAAGCCATTTTGAACACAGATGGCCATGTTGACGAGCAGGAGGAAGACATGGTAGTCTACGTCACATCGTATTTCATCAGCCACCGTGATCTTCCTTACCATGATGAACCCAGGGTCCTGAGATTTGATCGTGAGGTAGAGGAGTGGGAAAGAGAAGTTCGATTTATGTGGGAGGACCTCATTGACCATGATGCGCCACTAGATGTGGTTATTGTGCGTCCAGATCCGCCACGATCGATCTATCCTGGCACAGTCGCAACAGTGATTGTACACCAGCATTTTAGATTTGATCGTGCGGCATGCTTGATCTCGACTGCGCACATCATGGATCCTGACACGAGATTTTCGGTGAGTGCACATTCCACTGAACCTCATCTACTTCCACATAGAATAAGACAACTTGCTGGTGTTGAGCAAACCTGTCAACAAAGAGTCTTACAAGGAGCAGGCCAGTGTGAGATTTATATTGGACACCAACAACAACCTGAGGATAACGCAATTGCGATTTTCCACGGACTTGGATTGCTTGTTCGTGTACCATCGTTACTCTCGGAGGAGGAGATTGAACAAAACCTGGTACGTCGAATACAAGAACAGCGAAGACAAAGGATCGGCAACTCCTGGGATCCGGATGATGATGATGTTCATCCTGAAGATGCACGTCCACCACATCGTCATCAAGACGCTGGCAATGGAGATCACGGACCCGAAGATGCTGTGTCCTTTATGGCCAGGAATGAGGTCAACTGGAGGAGAACCTCGCAGATTGCTTCATCGTCTTCTACACCCTCTTCACCACCGTCGTCCTTTATCCCGGAGGACATCAGACGAACAGTTGTTTTCACACTGGATGGCAGAGCGTTTCCCACGTCCCTACCATGGGACGATGTTGAACAACATCATACAATCGTTGCCAGAGATGGAGGTATGAGAGAAAACCAAATTGCACAACTGTGGCAAGTGTCAAATAGGCCCTCAGACCTGACACGTCTCAATCTTCAATGCTTCATTGTCCAGTTGAGAAATGAGCCCCGTCCGGCTGAGTTCATGAAGATCATTTTGATTGACATTGACATCTACAATACCCAGAGTCCACAACCGTTTGCCATGAGGCGCCAAGCAAAATGGCTGCCGAGAGTCGTCAATCGACGATCAGTCTTCAGATTACTTGGCCTCGATGAGCAGTACCAGGAGCAAGAAGATCACTGCTACTTATGGCATAACCACGTCACCATTGAGGTTGACCAAACTGACCCACTTCGTTTGGAGGATGGAGATTTCCTTCTGGTCCATATCGGCGAACACATCTCATCATTGAGCTGCGGATCAGCACCTCCAGAGACACTCAATGACTCGAGCAATGCCAGTTGGAATCCAGCAGATGTGCGCAATGAGGAAGACCAGATGGATTTATTTCAGCGTAGCCTGGTCCAATCATCCAACCTTTGGCAAGGACTACATAGACAGCTCCAACAAATCCAACTCAGGATTGCGCCTGAGCACCAACGACAACCTGCTTCCCTGTCAAATCTGAATAGCAATCCACAAGCGGCCCCACGACAGCAGAGATCCGTGCGTTTCCACTCAGAGGATCTGAGGAAGTTTGGACGACTCTTCGAACAACAGGCCCTCATTGAGTGCGAGGAGGAGGGAGCCATTGCCTATTTAGAGACATGGATGATTCATCACCAACACCACAGATCTTGTACCACTTCCCGAGCAGTGAGAATTCAGGCCGTTGCCACTTCGTGGATTGACGATATCATTGAACCATGGGAGGAGGAGCTTGATCCAGATCTTGATGTTATCATCCATCTGGTCAACCCCCAACCACCTTGTACCAATATGGAATGCGTCATGGCGCATTTGATCATCGAGCAATCCCAAAGACAAGAGCATACAGTGGGCCTGATTTCAGTTGTCCGGCATCGACACCGACAGCAAAGCATCAGTCATGCTGCACACTCACTACCGGATTTGATGAGCCGCCACTATGTCTTGCGTATGAGCGATGTCCTTCATGAGTGTCATCCGACAGCATGTCAAGTGCGACAGGGGCCATTCCCCTTCGGACTAGTGGACATGGAAGAAATCCCCAGAGCAGTGGGCCTGGTCATTGAGATACGACGTTTTGATGCTCGGCAAGATGTACAAGGAGATGGCCTGGAGCTCATGCAACGCACCACCACGAGATGGCAGCGACGTGCACAAGTTCCACAAGATGGCTCCGAGGCATCTAGCACAGGTGGCAGTTGTGAAGGCTTCAGTTTCAATCCTGATGCTCCGACTTTCGTGCCACAGATTCCAAGCATGAATACAGTTCCTGAAGCAATTGAAGATCTTCACCAACACTGGCAACAGCATGCCTTCACTTGGGAAGGTGAAACAGCATCTTCTACAGTGATGACGTGGTTCGTAGACCACTATCACCCCGGGCAGCAAATCTGCCTACAGCCACGTGCAGTCAGGCTTTTTGAGGATTTCTCGCGTTGGGAACAACAATTGAGGAACGCTTGGCAAGACAGAGCACTACCGGGAGCGCCCATCATGATTCATGTTGTTGAACCAGCGCCACCACAAGTGCATCCAGAGATTGCCATTCATGTCCTACTTGTTCAAAATCCACAAGACACATTGTCAACGATTGTCCTCACAGGTATTGACAACACAGATCACCGACAAGTTCTGTTCACCCAGCTGGCATTGACTGTGCGGGACAACTTTGTCCTTGACCAAGTCCTCATGCTTATTGGCCTAGGACAACATTGCCTGGCGACAGGGACACAATTTATTTGTGTTGCTTGGTATGGAAACACAGCCATTCCACTGGGGACGCTATTCCCGATACGGGATGGCTATGGTATCATCTTGCGTGTTGAATACAGACCGGTCCAACATCTGCCAGTGGATGGGAATGTCCTGCTACAAACGGCTCTTCGAAACACACAGGAGCATATGCCCCCACAGGAACAAAGGATCAGAACCTGCGAGCGCCTAACAGCTGCTACGGTGACTCACGAGCAGCGGCCGCAGGATTCTGAGAATGATGAGGACCACAAACATCAATGCGGAACACGACGCACAACGATCTGTCTTGAAGATCTTGTGGAGATTGAGACCGCTCAGGAAGCAATCACCCTGTGGTATGAACATGCAACAGCATTACAACCACCTTTCATTGTTGTTGATGTGAATGCCAGTGAACAGGATGTTAGCCTTGCCCTGGAAGAATGGAACCTTGCGAACAACTTTGCCTATATACCATCCCATCAGATTGTGGCCATCTTGGACCCTGACCAAAAAGAGCATCTTTGGATTTATCTGCCTGATGATCCGACACAGAGAACAGATCAAATCATGATGCGAGCGGGCCATCATATGACCACGCACCAGCACATGCGTTTTTTGTACACACAGGGCTTCTATAAAGCTGTTGTCGTCAGTTCGGCACAGATCCAAGCACAGGTCACCAAGGTCACATTCAAGAATGTTATTGCCCTGCCACCTACGCAAGAGATCAAGACAAAGGAGCGCACACCGTGGCCGGAGAAACAGACTCCACAAAGTGACCACAGGCCCATTTTTGACCGACATGCAGTAGAAGATCGAGTCCCCACCGCCAGACTCACTTACGGCCTGTCAATTGAGGAGTTTGAGGCCTTTTTTCATCCTGAGCACCATCCACTTCATCATGATTTGAGTGGATTTGAGCTCCCAGACAGCTGTCGCACACTGATCGACAACTGTGTGACGCATCAGCATATCGATAGATTGCTCATTTACGCGGATGGTTCGTCTCAGAGCAGATACAAGCGCAAGCCGCCTTTATGGATTGAAGAGCACGACATTTGTGACTCCTGGTGTTTTGCTGTCTTTGGTGAGAACTATGCATCTGACAAACTCATGTCATTGGATTGCAGTGTCAACCAGTTCTATATGATGAAGCAGCAGCTCACCATTTAGGGACAACACACCTTGGAGCAGATGCCGCTGAATGCGAGGCGATGTGCTGGGCGGCACTATGGCGGCTTGCTCAAAACCATCGACTGCCGACGGTCTTCCTGACCGATTCGCAACTCACTCGAGGTCAAGCCAGCGGAGACATCGGTGCGGGCATCATCAGCACTCCAATCCGCATCCTCCGTGGCCTCTTTCAAGCATTACAATCTGCTCTGCCTGATGATCAATTGCGAATCCAGCACGTGATGGGACACGCTGGAGATGCAGGAAATGAACTTGTGGATCATTTCGCCAAGTTGGAAGCAATTGCCAGCCTGCATCTTCCGCGCCAGGCCTTTGACTATGGAACATGGGCCAGGGTGGTCCCACATTTGTGGATGATGATACAACAATCGGCTGATCTACCCACTTTCACCACCCATGGATTTGACATCAGTGCCCCAGAGCTCCCACGACCTCAAGGATATGCCCTGGAACCGCATCGTTCTGAGCCAGTACGAAGCACCCGACTCCAGCAAATCCGTCTCAGCTTGTGTAGTGCCAATGTGAGATCCCTTTATGCACAGCCCCAGGGGCACGCAGGCAAACTTGATTTCCTGCGTAACCAAATGAAGCATTTTCAACTCAATGCAGTTGGGATTCAGGAGGCACGATCCAAACCTGGACTAAGCACAGCTGAACATGTTTTGCGCATTTCTGGTGGAGATCAACAGGGACATCTCGGAGTGGAACTCTGGATAAACCTGGAGCAACCATATGCACATCAAGGAAAAGCACCGATCTATTTCCAGAAGAATGACTTTGTTGTTGTTGAGGCAACTCCGAGATTACTTCTGGTATTACATGATCATCATGACCATAGATTTTGGTTTCTGGTGGCGCATGGTCCCCAAAGTGGCCGACCTCAGGAAGAACGTGAAGAATGGTGGACGCAGCTCTCTGCTTTGCTTTTCCGCCACGTGCAGTCCGACAAGATTTTTATCTTAATCGACGCCAATGCAGCCACTGGACCATGCGATGACCGCCATGTATTCCAAAATGATGACCGCACTTCAGCCAACACGAATTTCTTTGTTGACTTTCTGCATGCGGCGGAGCTAGCGGTCCCCTCCACTGGACCCTGCCACGTTGGACCGCACCATACGTGGACCAGTCCTATTGATGATGAGCAGTACAGGCTTGACTATGTGCTGATACGAACAGAGATGGTTGACGACTGCGTTCATTCACAGACCATTCCTGAGTTTGACCTCGGCAATTATGGAGATCATGTCGCAGTTGCAATCCAGCTACAGTGGGACACTCCAGTCATGCAAGTGGGCAGAGGGCGCACCACAGCCCGCACAAACGCCCCTGTGCAAAGATCTGCAATCAGTCATCAGACCATGCACTCCGCTCTCATGGAGTATGAGCCCATGACCTGGTCGCAGGACATTGAGACGCAGGTTCAACACATGAACAACTTTGTGCATCGCTGCCTACAACGACATTGCGGCAGACCAGCAGCGGCACCGAAGAAGAGCTGTCTTTCAGGTGAAGTTTGGCAATTCCGTTCCCAACGGATCCAGGCCAAAAAGAGGCTAGTAGAAGTTCAACGACAATTACGGTCCGAACTGCTCTACAGGGCCTTGCAGGGATGGAGGGACAAGACCAATACCATTGACTCTGAGGCCAAGATCTACACGACCACGCTGCTTTGTGGCAAACTCCGCATTGTTGCCCGTCTTCATCGACTGGACCGACAGATGCGTCGAGAATTGCAACAAGCCAAAGGCCGTGCTCTTGAACAACAGCTTCGACAGATGCCCCATGACGCACCTGCGTCGATGGTATTACATGGAATCAAGCAGATCATTGGCACCACCAACTACAAGAGAAAAACAAATGCACTGCTACCATTGATCAACAGACCTGATGGCACACCATGCCGATCGACCAAAGAGATACAGGATCGATGGATCGAATTCTTTCAGGCTATGGAGTGTGGAGAACGTTTGGAAGACTCTGTGCTGAGACAGCGGTGGATTGACAATCTTGCCCAACTTCGGTGCCGAGACCTTCATCTTCAAGTTCAAGACCTACCCAGCTTGCTGGACCTTGAGAGAGCCTTCAGAAATGTTAAAGCAAACAAAGCCACGGGAGATGATGGAATTCCATCTGAGCTCTGCCACGCATGCCCAGCAGCAATGGCAAGACTCACATACACCCAACTCATCAAGCTCTGTGCCCATGGGCAAGAGACGCTCTTGCACAAAGGAGGCAAGCTCGTAACAGCCTTCAAGCATAAAGGCTCGGCCAGAGAGCCATCCTCCTACCGGTCATTGATGATCTCATCGCACATTGCGAAGACGCTGCATCGGAGCCTACGATCTCACCAAGCTGAATACTACGAGCGCTTTCTGCAACACCAACAGATCGGGGGCCGAAGAAGAGTCCCTGTTCAACTTGGCGCACACATGGTTAGAGCTCACCTGCGCATTCAAGCTGACCAAGGCCGATCGGCAGCAGTCTTATTTCTTGATTTACAAGAAGCTTTTTACAGGGTATTGAGACCGCTCGCATTGGGGGACAAGATGACGGATGAAGCCATTGGTGCTATGATGCAGAGGCTCCGTATACCACCTTCGGCCATGGCGGAACTTGCGCGTCTTCTTGAACAACCTGGGGCTACAGAGCAGGCCAGCTTGCCGCCGCATCTGCGCCTGGCACTGAAGGCCATTCATACAGACACGCATTTTCGCGTTGATGGGCAAATCGACCGGGTGCGTACCCAGGCAGGATCGCGCCCGGGCGACCCTTTCGCCGATGTGGTCTTTGGGTACCTCTTCTCCAGAATCCTGCACACCATCGAGGACAAACTTGCACAGGAGCAACTCCTGGACATGGTCCCAGAGCACTTGAGTGGCCCACAACTGGTGTTACCTATCCCTGAACAAGCACCAGAAAGACCTCTGCTCGGACCTACGTGGATGGACGACCTGGCCATTTGCATTTCTGGTCCAGACGCTATTGCCCTTGAACGTAAGGCGGCCCTTACTGCTGGCATTCTCCTCGAGACATGCATGGAGTATGGAGTTACCCCCAATCTTTCCAGAGGCAAGACGGAGATCCTTCTTGCCCTCCGTGGACGTGGATCGAGAAACAGCCGCCGTGCTCATTTCAGCGAGCAACAAGGCAAACAGATGCAGGTGGTTCATGAACATGGGGTTGCAGCTGTGGCAGTGGTAGGCTCATATGTTCACCTTGGCGGTAAGGCTCACCACTCAGGTGAGAACAAGATAGAGGCGCGCCGACGAGTTAGCATCGCCAATGAGGCCTTCAACCAACATCGACGGCAGCTTTTTCAGAACCCACAGATCAACTTGACCAGAAGAAGAGAACTCTTCGTCACGCTGGTGCTGAGTAAGCTTTGTTACGGAATGGAGTCCTGGACGTTCAAAGACCAGCAATTGGTCAATTTCATACATGGAGCGATTCTCCGACTGTACAAGCGACTCATCAAAGTGCCAGTTGATCGACACATGGACGATTATGAAGTTCTTGCAGTCTGCCAGCTGCCATCACCTAAGACCCTTTTTCGAAGGGCAAGGTTGCGGTACCTGCTTACGTTGATCAATTGTGAAGACGCTGTTCCATGGGGCCTCCTTCGCCAAGACCATGTTTGGTGCAACATGATCAAAGAGGATCTTCATTGGATGTGGCGACAACTCTGCAATACATGTGCTCTTCGAGATCCGACAGATCATCCGGATGAGTGGTTCTATATCATGCGCTTTCACAAGAGCTATTGGAAGACTCTGGTACACAGAGCCACCACGCTGGATGTCATGAAGAATAGCGACACATGGCAACTACGCTCTATTCACTCCCAGATCTTTGAGCACCTGCAAGCAGTAGGCGATCTCAGCATTGCTCCGCCACGGCTGGAAGAACCAGTGCGCCCCGGGTTCTTTGGATGTCTTGCATGCCGCAAAAGATGCAAAACAAAGGCAGGGGAGGCAGCACACATGTTTCGCTGCCACGGACATGTCGCAGAATTCCGAAAGTTCAGCGACACCACCTCATGCCCAGCCTGCTTGCGTGAATATCATACCATTGATCGTCTTCATGCCCACCTTCGACAAGGACGTAGCTGCCAGGCAAGACTGCGAGGGATGAAGATGCAACGCCCCCTTACTCCGGGAATTGGCTCACAACATAATGCCGCCTTGAAGCGACAACATGATGGGCTTTTACCCTTCCAAATTGCGGCTGGACCTGCTATCGAGCCGGGCCCACAAGCTGACGCAACACCCTACAACCTGGAGATGTACGAGAAGCTCGCACTGATCTGCTTTGAGCAGGGACATCAGGGTGGCCAGCACCTTTGTAGCCAGCTTTTTGCAGCAGCGCAGACCATTGGATCCTCTTGGACAGATTTACATATGACGGTGGAACAGCTCCTTTTGGACTTCAATGATGAAAACTGCGACCTGGCGCAGATTGCCAAACCCGAGCTCCATCGTATCCTTGCTGGACTCCGCGACCCTGCGAACTGGCCGTTTATGGCCAACAACGCAGGAGCCCCAGATGCTCGACATCGCGTTGAGACCCTGGATACATATGAAGTATGGAGTGAAAGCATGGCTCAGAACCTTACACAGCAGCCTTGGCAACCTCACCGGGAAACGCCATCCAGGCCTTTCGCTGAAAGAATCATCCTCCATGCCTACTCCGGAAGGCGAAGGCAAGGTGATGTACAGTGGTTCCTTGAAGAGTGTGCCGCGCGACATCCTGCAGTGGACCTGTATGTCATCTCGCTGGACATTGTCATCGACGCGCACTATGGCAACATTGGACGTGATGAAGTCCGAGAACGTTGGTATGCTGGTATGAGACAAGGCTATGTCGCCGGCTTCTTGAGCGGACCACCATGTTGCACATGGTCGAAGGCGCGGGGGAAACAAATCAAAGGCAAACCCACCGTAGGTCCTAGAATCTTGAGAGACTCTGACCATCTGTGGGGATTTGAATCGGTTTCCATCAAAGAGATGATGCAGCTGATGGACGGACATCAGCTTCTGGGTTTCAGCATTGTTGCAATGACTATCCTGGCCACTACGGGCGGTGCAGCGATCCTTGAACATCCTGCTGAACCAGAAGAGCCTGAGCTTGCTTCGATTTGGCGCCTCCCAGTGCTCCAATTTCTGAGTCGGCTCCCTGGCATGCAGCATCTCAGTATGGCACAAGGCCTTCTTGGAGCGCCCAGTCCAAAGCCGACGGGTTTGTTGACATTGAATTTGCCCACTCTACCAAAATGGTTGGTCAAGTGGGCTGTTTGCCCTGATTTACCCAAAGGACGCAGCATTGGAACAGACAGCACAGGCGTGTATAGAACGGCGGAACTCAAAGAATATCCGCCTGCCATGTGCGCTGCCTTTGCCCACGCCTTTCTTGACGCCACTTTGACTGACATCCACGCAGACGTTGCACAGACTGTACAACACGTCTCGCAGGACTTTTTGCAGCTCTGCCAAGCTATGATCAGCAAGGATTTTAGCGCAGAATACGGTCCGGACTGTGTCAAGTGATGTCAAGATGGTACAGAATTCACCTTGCTCTGCCGCAGCGAGACTCGCTACTAGTTGCAGCTTGGGAAAAAAATATTATATATATATACATCACATATGTATATATATATATATATGCATCCAAAAATGGCAATGTCACCAGGATAAATTGTTAATCCCAAAAACTGGGACCCCAATTCACGAATAGATCAAACATGTTCCGCAAGGGTTTCATTTGGGTGTGTTACATTTCAGGGATGGTTTTTTTCTTAAATGTTCTAAGCAGTTTTCACCTACCATTCACCACTCTGCATCTGATGATTCTATCCCCATTTGGCTACGTATCCAGACAACAAAATCCTTGGTCTGGGGTAAACTAACATAGGAACGCCCATGTTTTCCATTCGGAAAATGATCTACATTCCTCTGGTGTCCCAAAATAAAAAGGGGCCCAAAACGAAGCAAGTTCTACTTCTACTCAACTGAAGCTTTTTCGAGGAACGTAGGTGTCCAAAGGATTTTGGGACATACTGAACTACCCAATATTGGTTGATCAAGCATCCCTTTTACAGTGCTGGGGTGCCCCGTTGAAGGTCCAAGAATCACACAAATATCACTATGTCTACACACATTTACGTGGAGATGGATGATTCATCCCAAAAATGTAGAGTCGACACTCAAACTTGCTTACCGACAAATCGAAAGTCCTGACGCTCAACCCCGGCGGAGACACCCCGGCTCCGTTCTGTTCTCGGGATGAGTCCCTTTTCCAAGCATCCTTGATGGATATTGATGGATATTGATGCTGAGGTCATATGGTCGCTCTGAACATCTCGCAGTCCTCTGACTGCTTCGAAATCTTCATGTCCGGCAGCCCCATCTCGCTTAGGTGCATCCTGCGGGAAGTGCCAGGTGTATCCTGTTTTGGGACTGAAGTGTCTCAGTTTGGAGAGGGATGATCTTGATATATCATGATATATCTATCTTGATATATCTTGATCCTTCCTACAAGTTGCATCTGAATTTCTGCCTTCTCCCAAACCATTGGCAACTTCGACCAGTGAACCTGAGTTCACCTTCAGCTTTTACATCTTTTACCACTTCAACTGGCTCCTGCTCATGCACTTGTTTGCATTCTTAAGGCGTTCGGCATCACTTTTCTCGTGGGGGTCGGACAGCAAAAACTCGCACATCTTCATGAGGTCCTTCCTTGGAGAATCATCCCAGCTAGCATGGAACCACCAGCCAGTTATAACATATACCCTCTGGTAAACGTTTACATAACTATGGAAAATCACCATTTTCTAGCTGGGTAAATCCATTATTTCTATGGCCATGTTCAATAGCTATGTTAAATTACCAGAGGGTGTAATCACAGAATATGATCACAGAATCCTAAACCACAGACTGGAAATACCACCAGAAGCCTTAGCATATTGTAGCACTCATGCGGGCTGCGATTGCATCTCCTACTTTTAACAAATCCCGACTCCAACTGATAACGTTGAGCCTTGCAACCAGAAAGACCGACTTCTCATCTTGGCACGCCCAAGCACCCAGGTGCATTCCTCTTGTGATCTCTACTTTACTTCCATGATGTCTACCAAAAGGATCGCCCATCACAAAGAAGTTGTTTCTTCTTTGTTCAACTGTTTCATACCATCCAAACATCCAAACTCAAACACAGGCGTCGACCAAGGTACGCTTCAAAGTTGGTCCCCTGATTCACGCAGCAGCTGGTGCCGGTGGATCCCGTCCGAACGGCACAGGCCAGCGCCGCCAGGAGCCCAAGCACGAGGCTCCAGAAGGACATGGCGATAGCTTTCTCAAACCACGGGCGGAGGCTGCTAGCAATGGCTATAGGGACCGCATCTGGAAAGCAGGTGATCAAACTTGGGGGCCCCCCCAAAAAAAAAACTCCATGAGTGGATGATAATTGGACATAAGAACACCGAGTCATACTTCTTGATGGCCCCATTAGGGGCCCTATCCTTCAACTTCTTCAACCATTCCCAAAATTCTTCTCACGATGGCCCCCATGCGGGCCGTCGCTTGTGTCGCGCCAAGCGTCCGTGATGCCCGCATAGATGTTGTAGGCTGCGTTCAGCAAGTCTCGGCAGCGGAATTTGGGCAAGCGAAAAGGCGACGACTTGTGGAGTTGGGCGGGGTCCGTGGTCACGTGGCCATCTGGCTACGTTAGCCACCAACAATAGGGAGATCAACCAACAAATATTATATATAAATATACATATAGAAATTGAAATGGTGAAATTTGGATTTGCTGGGGTAAAAACAAATAGGATATATTCCGAGTAGTTCCCCCTGTTCAGTGGATTTTCTGATGTGGAAGTAAAGAGGACACGTTCAAATTTAGGAATTCTCCGGGCTTACTGGTGTTGTAAGGTGTGCATTGATGAACACCTACTACTTACAAATGTTATTATTATTGTCCTTATCAGCGGGCAACGAATCCTCAGTTCTAGGTATTTACAGGAGCATCTATAATAGCAAGAGTCCATCATTGCAAGAGGCTCCCCAACAGGGGTTAGATAATACTTGATAAGCCTCGCCAAGAATTTCCTTCCGTGGTGCTAGTGGTAATGATAATCCCGCATTGACGCTTTTTTTGGATGTCTGGTTCCAATTGATGGATTCGTTATACAAAAATCGCATTCCTAGCCAATTCAATCCCGCATGGTGGATGGTCAATGTCAACCCCGGATTTATAAACCCCCGGGCTTTCTATTTGGGTTGGTCCCCAATAAAACAGCGGACTCCCATCAAAATCAACCTTCGTTGCCACGAAACTGAGGTTGTTTTTGAAGACCAGGTCCACCTCCTTCAGTCGATGCTTTTGAGAGGCCAATAGAAAGGGAAGAGCCCAGTTGTGTCTGAAAAATGGGGTAGATCAAATGTGTGGCCATTCAATCAGGAAAATGATGATTGATCATGATTAATGTTTGAATTCTGAGGAACCCTATTTTCAGAGAAACCCATTTTCGATCCAGGCCTGATGGTGTAATATCCGTTTGAATCTCCTGTATGTGACCATGTGCTAGAAAATTGCACCCAAGAATTGTCCAATGGATGATGCACGGGCAGTTCGAAACATGTTTCAACCATGCACCTTGACTCATGAAACATCTACACGAAGGATGCATTTGGCGTGACAACGTGTTCAAGCCATTGTCAAGCTGAAAGTAGATGAATCAACTCCCCGGTTCTTCAAGCTGTTGGGTTTTTTTCGTCCTCCGTGAAGAGATGAGCTCGAAAGTCCCTAGGACCGGGAGGACTTGTCTTGACGCTGGGCATTGAATACTCGGAGAATTTCTTGGAATGGAAAATGCCATGGAAATGTCCATGGATGTTGATGATCGTTCCGGTAAGAATTGGAATTTCCAACAAATTTGATGATTTGCATTCTTAAATTGATGTAAATGGCTTTCTGGTCAAGAATTGGAATTTTCATACCCCATGTTTGAGGCCTCCGGGTCTCCCGCGGTTTATGAGATGACCATTCCCAAAAAAAAAACCTCTACATATGCCTACACCCCTACCAGTGGACCAAGACTTCCGTTGGGAGGATCGAAGTAGATTGCACAGCAAAGTTCAAGATGAAATTCTGAAACTCATTTGTCTAAACTATAATAGTTCGTTTTATTTCACTTATCTGAAATAAGGCTATTTTGGGATACTTACCAGTGAGGTCGCAGTGAGGTTGTCTGCATGAAATTGGCCGGCCGAAGGTTAGGTCCATGGCCCATGGTGAGTACAGTTCAGAATTTCGAGTCGCAGATTTCAGAGTACCTGCAGTGACCTACAGACAAGTACACTTTACACCCACTTCTTCTGGGTAAACGATGAAGTGATATGAAGTGATATTGTGTATGTATCCTATGTATAGAAAAACAGACCTCTTCTGCAAACCGTTTTGGGATGATCTCTATGGGATCTTTGGGGCAGAATTTTGAGCCAATCCCGTCGGGGGAACCAGGCGACGTAGCTTCCAGTGGCTTCCAGGATCATCAAGTGATATCCCCAGTGACTCTTCATCTTCATTCACATGCCGGGTGTTCAACTCTTGGATTTAAATCAGTTTCTATTCATAGCATTCCCCAAAGAAGTGTGTATATACCCTCCAGTAAACTAACAGTGTTATGGAAAATGATCCATTTATAGATGATTTGCAGTGCATGTAATTTTCCCATGTACATCAATCTACCCGTTAAAAAATCCCCATTGGAAACCACAAAAGATTTCCGAGACCAAGCCGCTTCTCCCGCTCAAAGAGGGGCGTCATCTCGGCTTCTAGGGCGCTGCAAAGTTGGTTGAATGCCTGGTTTTTTCTGGGCTGGGCTGCAGGGAATAACCAGAGTTCGAAACTGGGTGGCAAAAAATTGCAAAATTGGAAATCAAAGAGCTAAGTAAATTGGAAATCAAAGAACTAAGTAATGTAAGTATCTGGCAAAAAAATGAAAATCATCCCAAACTTGCACTCACAAAGTGCACTGTTGGGCCGTTGGGGCTGACGTCCTCTTACCAAGACATTGGGGATTCCAGATCGGTGGAGCTAGACATGTGGGTATAGGTTGTCAACCATGTACGAACCGGGCTGCACATCCCACTTAGCAAGTGGTTTATAACCCATTAATCTATCCCACATGTGAAAGATATCTATCTATCTATCTATCTATCTATCTATCTATCTATCTATCTATCTATCTAGCTAGCTATCTATCTATCTATCTATCTATCTTTCTATCTTTCTATCTATCTATCTATCTATCTATCTATCTAATCTTATCTATCTAATCTTATCTATCTATCTATCTATCTATCTAATCTAATCTAATCTAATCTAATCTAATCTATCTATCTATCTATCTATCTATCTAATCTTATCTATCTAATCTAATCTAATCTAATCTAATCTAATCTATCTATCTATCTATATATATAATCTATGTATATATGTATATATGTATATATACAATTCAATTGATTAATGCGTTAATTAGTATACATATATGCACAAATGTATATGTATGTGTACATGTGTTGCATATGTATATATATAAGGGTAAAGTACAGTATAATAATTCACTCATCTGAAATGTCCGGCTATTTTGGGATGGTGCCCCGCAATCTAACCTTTAATGCAGTGAGGGAGAACAGTGAGGTCGTGATGAAATTTACCCAGAATATATGCTGGTTGGTGGTTGACCAACCCCTCTGAAAAATGATGGACTTCGTCAGTTGGGAAGGATGACATCCCATATAATATGGAAAAATAAAAAAATGTTCCAAACCAGCAATGTTATAATTTACCCAGATATACAGATATGCTTATCATATATTACTAACCACTATTAACATCTATTAACCATTACTAACCACTATTAATCTCTATTCATCTGTATATTACATATATATATATATATCATATATGTATGATGATATGTTATGTATAATCTTCCTTATAACGTGCTTAGACACTACCATAGGGGCGAAAATCAAAATCTCCTGGGCTCCGGCACCTGGCCCAGGCTCTCGACCTTCCTGGGCTTCAGCAATTTGGCCTCAGCCACCCGCAGGAAGGTCTCCAGGAACTGGTACCTGGCGAAACGAAGGAAACCAAAATGGCAAATCTGAAACCAATGGGAATATATATATATATATACTGTATATATGTGTGTGTGTTTGTATATAAATCCGCCCACACCGCTTTGGCGGTGAAGGCGTGCTTATTGGGGGGCAACAGCAACACTAAATGCTCAATGACATTTGTTAATATAGCAGTCGCTATATCAGCTTTAGCTGGGGGGGGGGGCAAAAACGGTTTCGCACCGAGACCAGAATACGGTGGTGTTCTCGACATTTTTCGAGGATTTTTGGGTGTCTGAGCGCAAGAGGGTATTGAAATGGAATTTTGGGTCATTTTGGTAGCTTTCCGGCAATGGAAAAACGGCCAAAAATGAAAAAAACATTGTACATAGCAAGATTTTGCAGGGGTTTTGGATGCCAGAGCATTGAAAACACTGCAAAAACAAGTGTTTTGGACTGACGTTATAGCAAAAAACGTGTAAATTACCGTATGCTTGACTGGAAACATTACAAAACACTGTCAAAAGCAATGTTTTGGAAGGATTTACTGCCTTTATGGCAAAAAACGTGTAAATTACCGTCTGTTTGACTGGAAACATTGGAAAAACACTGTCAAAAACAATGTCTTGGAAGGATTTCTTATATATATATATATGTTGGAGTTGGCTACCGGCATTGGAACATGGAAAAAATGAAGAAAACACTGTAAATAGCGGTATTTTCAACGGTTGGGGAGATAAGGGAATTGGAAGCATTGTCGAACATGATGTTTTCGACCGGTTTTATGGCGACAAAAGTGTAAAGTACCGTGCTTTGAAGGAAACCATCGCAAAAACATGGAAACACATTCAAAGAACACGGGATTTGGGGGACTATCTAGGCGTCGTTGTCTAGCTATTTGAAATCCCACAGCTTGGAGAGCCTCCAAGGGAGGGAAAAGTGAAAATTCCATAGCTTTGGAAGCTGTCACAGCGGGGAAAAGTGAAAATTCCCTAGCTTGGGAAGCCCCCACGGGGGGGAAAAGTGAAAATTCCCTAGCTTGGGGAGCCCCCACGGGGGGAAAAGTGAAAATTCCCTAGCTTGGGGAGCCCCCACGGGGGGGAAAAGTGAAAATTCCCTAGCTTGGGGAGCCCCCACGGGGGGGAAAAGTGAAAATTCCCTAGCTTGGGGAGCCCCCACGGGGGGGAAAAAGTGAAAATTCCCTAGCTTGGGGAGCCCCCACGGCGGGGAAAAGTGAAAATTCCCTAGCTTGGGGAGCCCCCACGGGGGGGAAAGTGAAAATTCTTAGCTTGGGGAGCCCCCACGGGGGAAAACCACCCTTAGCCCCTCTCACGGACCGAAATAAACCTGCGGTGTGGGCGGCCACCCCACGCG